AAAGCTTCCATTGCGCATTCGAATACTCCAGACAACGTCGATACATCAGAGTCGTCCACGGTAGGAGCTGCCTCGGAAGCCGTCTGGCTCTGAGATGTCGAATGAAGAAGCTGAGATTGAGCCTTTGAGTGCGTTTCATTTGCTGTCCTAATAAATTCGTCCCTCTTTTCCTTTGCCCAGTCCCGAGCATTTCGATATGCGCATGCTCCTTGCCGAAACGTTTCCAAGTTCCCAGTCATGCCCCAAGTATTGAGTTGGGTCATAATATATTCAGGGCGATGGCTTGGGCCTTCAGGCTCAGTGAGATGAGTTGTGTACAGCTTCAGTGTACCGCCATGATAAATCGACGTAAGAGTGTAAGCACTGTTGTCGTAAGTTGATCTTGATCCGTCTTGTTGGTATGACTGGAGAGCGTGCATACCCCGAGCTCCTAGTGCGCCATCATAACAAGCCTGCCGTGTAGCCACAGCCAAGGATCCATCGGGGGGCCTTTTGCTTCCAAAAAGAAGTTTGGTACCATTGGAAGGTCATCCTGTGTTGATGGAATGATATGGTCACTAAGTTCGTTGCGGATTTGACGATCAAGTTGTTCAGGACGCGCGCCGTAGAAGTGATCTGGTTTGGCCTGAGCCAGCGTGCCATCAGTTAAAGGAGCAAGGTTTCCAAAGAGGTAATCCCCTCCAACACATTTAGGGTCTCCAACATCGCCATCAAGAATGGGTACAACCGAATTTGTAACTGGTTTCTCCTTAGATGCATATGCGTCTGCTTCTCGGAAGTCTTCAAAGCGATCTTCAGAAAACTTTGAGGGCGAAAGTGAAGCTCTTGGTTGTGCTAGTGTTTCGTTGATCTCCGTCCAATTACTCGGTTTTGATGGTTTGCGACGGTCCGGATACCTATATTCCGGTGGATAGACTCCATGATCGATAAGGTTCTGCTGGAAGTTCCGACTATAGGCTGTGGTGCTTGTGGCTTTCGTGGTGCCTTTGGTATCACCAGTTTGTGATGATGGAGGAGATTCCGCGCGCCGCTTTCCACTACAAGACCTTGATTTGTTTGAGTTCATCGGTTGATCGCGGAAATTTTCGGGTTTGGGATACTGGGTTAAAAATTCTAAGCACGGATGTGTGTGCGTGGATTTGTAGTTACATACATTTCTAATGTCGGACAGGTCAGGTCCTCCCAGTCTGGAAATCCCCTTTTATCTGTTTTAAACAACTGGGGGCACAATCGTGGAGAAAGTCAGGAGCAAACTGAACAGGTCCACGGCCCTTGTTTAGCTCAGCGAGAAATCGTCGAGTGATAGGCCTATGATGTTTCTGGGTTGGTCTCGGGCGACTGTTTCTTCGGTCCAGCTCTTTTAGTGCTTCTTTGGTTAACCAAATCTTTGACAGGTTATCCCAATACGCTGATGCTGACTCGCTGAGCTTCTGTCTTTTCGGGTGATATCGCGAAGTGTTGCAAAGTGACAAAGGATGCTGACGCTTGCGAGATGGGGTGAAGGTCGCTGAACAAGGCATATGGCGATGGATCACAACTTTTTGGTTTCTCTATAGTGCAGTATGCACCGAGGACAGTAGCAGCAGAAGTTCTTATAATCGAGTGCCGCGAGGATCGCAGAATTATTTCACAAGCTTATCCAGAAATGATTGTTGTTGGGCAGTCCTGGATGGGTGCTACTGTAGCACGTGATATCGTGAAGGAGAGAAGCGCTAATGTCTTGGCAAACCAAAATTAGCACTGCCACCTGGGGTTACCACTCTTTCCCAATGATCCCCAGGTAAAGGGCCTCGGTAAAAAGATACCCGGAAGCAGAGGCCGGCCAAGCCCAATAGATTCTCCCCAGCAGCTTGGAATGAAATTTTTCGATACTTTTTCGATCCTTTCTATAATAAAATTAGGCTATAATTTGGCGGTATTCTGTCGTTGCGGTTATACTGCCTCTGTTGGTGGGGGGGTCGGCTCAAACATGTTCGAAGCAACGTAGATGTGGTCACGAGCTTAAACCAGAATGCTTCCCTTAACTGAAATTGGGCTGCGGTACCCACCTACCACCGTCAATGTGGCCCGTCCAAAGGCCTTGCTGCCCGACGACACGACGGTTTGAGGTTCACAGGACGGAAAATCTTAGATTCCGACATTTCGTCATTAGGCCAAATGCTTTCCATTCCCCTCCTTGAGGAATCAGCCATCCAGTGTTCTGGCTTCTCTGAACCGTAGCCATCTCAGCCTCCGACCATATAATTTGGAGACCTTCCAGTGAGCCCTCATTCAAATCTCAGCAAACCTGTTCAGCTCTCCTCAGAAGTTTTCGCTTCTATTAAGCGGTTCTTTTGAGAGGTACGGATTGCCACCCCCTTTTATTTGGAATAAAACTAAGTCACGTTAGCCTCATTTCGCGCCAACATCTATCTACAAATCGAGCTCTATCAACCCGCTGTCTCTTTATGTTATCGAACTACCAAAACCTTCTCAATATATGGTCTCGACCACGTATATTAAACGCGAATTTTCGCTATCAGCTATGTCTAAGGAGGTACGTCAACACAATCTGGCTTTCGCAAATGCGTATTCATAGCTGAAATTAAATATATGGCTTGCGTGTAGGTTGGATGTGAAGCACTTTCTGGGGTCGAGGAATACATAGATGTAAAGCTTTTTGAAGCCGTGGATTTTTCCAGGAATATCACAGGAAGGGGAAAATCCATCATTATCTATGATTCAAAAGCGGATATGAACTCCCCTCCATATTGGCAACACAATAACGTCGCGGAAAACGGGACAAGTGATGTACCCGCTGGTTTTAAAGTTCGCGTAATAGGCGCAACTGTGAAATTCACATAGATGCTAGTTTAAGTCTCTCAATCACTTCCAGACCTTTTTCATGACCCACGAGCAAGGTTATTGTGATGTCCTGGTTTCGGTTTTCAGGGACTAAGACATTCAAGCAATCTGTTGTTTTCCTCGCCGTTCCTCCTACCACCCGCTCCCATATCCACTGGTTACTGTTTTGGACTGCGACGAAGAGGAGGTCGCCGATCTGTGGCATTTCGCTGACTCGTGCTGCAGAACATCTATAATCAATCTCTATATAGACATCATTAGCAACATCCGGAATAGAGTGAAGAGCTTTCACATACGCCTATCTGTTTGTTGGATTGAAAGCTGCTCAGTTCGAGCAGATGGATCTGCTGCATTTATGTCAACCCTCATGAATATCTAGTAGCAGAGAGGTATATACCTACCTTGATGTGTCTCCTGCGGGTTCTGTTCATGATACTCGGGAGAGCCCATCAACGCAGCTTGAGAACCTGTCTCAATTTGTGGATGGGATGCAGAGTCGTCGCTGTTAAAATACTGATTCGCAAGTCGGTGCAAGACAGAATTGTCGAGTCCAGCCACATCTTTCATCACATATGGCAAGTTAAGCCTCACATCCTCCTTCGCAATGGAAATCACAGATAATCCAAGCCCAACAACACAGAGGATAACCATGGAAGCGCCGTTGACCTGCAGGACTTTCTGTAGAAACTCCAGATAAATTCTTCGACGCTTTGCCCCCTTGGCATCTGTGGGTTCCCTACTTCGTAATAGGTCAACAGCCTCCTCAATTCGCTTTGCTTCAGGGATTTTGACACCGTTGCGACGTTGAATTTTTCTCGACGCATCGGCAAGAGAGGAGATAGCACCATCAATCGACAGAGGAGCCATTTGTTAGTCGGTGTGAGTTGGGTAATGCGTCAAGAAAGAGTCGAAAAGAAGCTGAAAATGAGTCAAAAAAGAGGCCGAATGTGGTAGGCGAGAAATGTTGTTATCGCATGGAAATTCCCCGCACCTGGGCTGTCAAGTGACCAGATGCGGCAGCTGCTAGCCTCTCATGCCGATATTTGTCATATTTCAAATAAAAGAAATGAAAACAGTGTCCTTCCGGACCTGCTTACAGCATGATTTGGCAACTAAGCAGCCTTCTTGTCCTTGTTGCTATGCAGAGTGCGCTCGATCCGCCGAGTGAGGCGTCGAATGCGATTCAACGACGCAATGGTGTTAAAGGCAAGGAAACAAATCGAATAAGAGAAGCCGTCGCAAGGCGACGGCTGGGGTGTCCACCGGAAATATTTTTAATACAAATTTAGCCTACATCAGCAAAATTTTCTAATCAGAGTCATCAAAATATTACCGAAAAAGTGTCGAAATATTGACAAAAATTTAAACTATATTTAAAGGATTCTGCTGCGCTTGGCGATCCCGTTCCAGGTTTACGCCCAAACACCGTGGCATTCCCAACTGAGACCAATTATCTGATAGTATCCCGAGCCAAGGTCTCCGTCGCGGTATCGGGAACAATACCGCTTTCGCCAACACGGACACTGCCTTTACAAGTCAACCTTTCCGGCCGACTGTTCGCCAATGGGGTGCGGCACAGCTTCAATCCGTTGTCATAGTTTGCGTCGCCTTACATGGCAACGACAACATCTTTTCTCAATTGATCGTCTAATTACATGCACAGTGAGCCGTGGAGCTCACGATGATGAGCCTGCATGCTTGTGTCCAAAGCAGGGGTCTAGATGGGTGCGGATTCGCTACGCAGAGCAGAGGACGGCAAGCTTTCTCCGACAGCCTCTCGGTTCGACAAGGTCGAGACCATGTATCCTGCGGTACAGTTTCATGCATCTCTAAAATGGGAGAGCGACGGCCATCTCCTCACTTATCCACGTGGTCCAAGCGGAAGGGAATAGATGTCAGGAGTGTCGACAGAATGACATATAAGGAGGCACAGTTTCCCCCGAAATCCTGAGGCAATCAAGAAATACTTACCGAGCAAAACTTCCCAATTCCAATCCCCGCGAGCCATTACACGTTGTCGCTATATCTTTATAGATCACAATGTCCAAACCCACAAAGTCTAACGGCATCAAAGCTCCTCCCTCTTCACCCCTTCACCCCCAAACTCCTCCAGGTAGCCGTAGCCACGCAAACCCTCCGCAGCCCGATACTATGGAACAGCTGCGAGAACTTTTCATGGATGTTCTTCGTCAAGCCAAGCAGTCATCAGATTCTTCAGAGCCAATTGAAGATACCAAACCGGAGACAAACAAGAACAAAGAAGGCAACGAGGGGAAAGCTCGAGCATCAAAGCTCGAATATAAGGAGGTCCACGAAGTGTACGTCCCATCATTCAGTGTCTTCATTCCTTTTATGCTCACTGGCAGCTAGGTGGGACAAGGACAACTCCAAGTATAAGATTGTGGACTCTGTGAGAGAGGACAAGGCAATCGATGATCTTGACCAGTATATATTTGTTGTCCGGAACCAGCTTGGTAAGAAATATATTCACAACTCTCACACTTGGTTACTAACGGCATATCAGACAGGATGACTAAGGAAACTAAGACCTTTGTTGATATCAAGTCCGAGGCGTTGCTTGACGTGCTGCGAGAAATTGTGAGAGATGTTAGGGCTATCAGCTTGCGCGAGGATAAGCCTTCGGTATTGTTTCACCCTCCTACTCAATTTCGTTGAAGTAGTCATTAACCCAGTATCAGATTGAGCGGAACTTCCTATACAACTTCCTTCCCGACCTCGAGAAGTACATTATCAAGAAAAGATGGGATCATGCGGACCCACGTTCGAAGCATGTGGACCTGCTCATCGGGTATATCAAGGAAACTTATGCCTCCACAACCCAGAGCCTTTCGCCACTTCTGAAAAAGGGAGAAATCACGTACGACCTGCTCTGGACCATTTTCAAGCCAGGGATCTTCGTATATAGTACCTGTCTGGGGACTGGCAAGCCGCGATGTGTTATATTCGATGCCGGAGAAGAGAAAACGAAAATGAACGGGATCAAATACTTCAGTTTAGATTGTCGCTATCTGGACTTTGACGGTGAGGTATTCGGTGAAGCCGGTACCCAGCTGGAGGTTACCGGGTTCCACGGACCCAGACCCATTCACACCCTCGAGGCCTTCCCTCTTGATCACCACCCCAATAAATCAGGTGTCATGACGTCTATCATCGACTTCGGCCGGAAATTTTGCAGCTTGAAGGGCCAGCACATTCGCCACTGCCGCGGCCGTGCTTTCTTCAAAGTGCGGGGAGAAATAGTCCAGATCTGTATCAACAGTCGTGTCATGGTCGACTCAGCCTTCTTTCGTCAGATGAATCCGAACTACACCAGACCGCGGATCAATCAGCGGAATGGCTCTTATGTGGATAATGACGGTATCACCCACGTTAATGTTTCGGCGTTTTTTGACAATCAGGACCAGCGGATGCGAGACCAGGTGAAAAGCAATGGGATGAATCCATCCGAAATGAAGGACGTTGACTTCCTTATTTGCTGTCCAACGGTTTTAGGGTTCTGTTTCAACGAGAACATCTGGAGTAAGTGAAACTGGCTTTCAACTGGTGTTCTCGCTAACTTTTAATTCCAGTGGAGTTTGCTGTCGCCGATCTCGATCAAGTCGAATGGTCATCCGCACCCTTCGAAAACCTCAAGATTCCGAGTCAGCAAAGGGACACGCTCTTAGCTCTAGCAAGGACTCGATTAGGCCTGGTGCCTAGCGTCCCCTTTGATGACTTTGTTACTGGCAAAGGGCGTGGCCTCAACGTGCTCCTCTAGTAAGTGCCTGCATCCTGGCTTAGTGAATGAAGCACCCTGACTTTAATGTCAGTGGACGTCCAGGTCTCGGAAAGACTTTCACCGCCGAGGCATTGGCAGAGCACTTGCAGCGCCCTCTTTACAAAGTATGTCCCTAATCCGCCTGGGCGAGAGTCAAAGATTAATGTTACATTTTAGGTACCTGCAGGTGAATTAATCGGGGATAGATGCCTGGAGGATCATGTTTCCAACATATTTAAGACCGCTAGCCATTTCAACGCTATACTTCTTGTGGACGAAGCCGATGTCTTTTTGCATGGGCGCTCTGTCGGCGGAGTCCACGATCATTCCGTGACGGTCTTCCTCCGCAAACTTGAATATTTTGAGGGGGTTTTGTTTCTCACTACAAACCGTGTCGACGAATTTGACGATGCTATCCTCAGCAGGATCCATTATAAGCTGAAGTATGAGGCTTTGGGCCGGGAATTCCGGAGAGATGTCTGGAGGAGTTTCCTTTCAAAGTCGTGCACGCATCAGGGAAGCCCGCAGCTGTCCAGTGATGAGCTGTATAAACTGGAGGGTTTGGACCTCAGTGCCCGAGAGGTATGTGGCGGAACGCCCACCATCCATATCTCATCTCTAACCGTATATTCATCTTCAGATCAGAAACCTGGCTATGATCGCCCATGCACTCGCCACTGTCGGTAAAGATCGTGTGTCTTACACCCATCTAGAGCAGGCCGCGGAATCGAACGAGGAATTCGCGCGCGCATTCAATCGCACGGAGCGTCTCGAGACCATGTACAATTAGGATACCATGACCTCAGAAGTACGTAATCAGCCCCCCAGTCTTATTTGATATGAACGGGAAAGTCGCGAGGTCATCTAGTGTCTGGTTTAATATAATCCTCCTTCTACTTAGCTACCACGTTTGTCCCATGTTCGTGGAGGCCGTTTGTGGGCGAGGAATTGATCTATTAGTTTGCTCTGTTTTATCTCTCGGTAATTATGTCTGATGACAGTTTTATGGTTTTATAATGGAATGTTTGACGTGAATGGTTAATCTGGGAGACCATCTGGCGTTTTGCTTGACGAGATGTTAATCCGGAGTCTACCTTCTCGGCAGGCGGACTGGGACAGATTTCTACACATCCTCCCCGGCTCTCAAGTTTGTGGGGGTCGTTCGTCAGGTATTCTACCTGTGAGAACTAATGCGCTTTGTTCTTTCTTTCTTCTTCGTGTTTCTCTATCCGTAATTGTATCTGATGACAACGCTGCTTGTCATAACGCTGAATCTCGATGAGATCCGTCTCGTTTGGTTTTCTGTCGTGATTCAATAATTGATGGAAGTTAGACAAATTTTGTAAACATCACTAGCCAAACATCAACTGGAAGCGTGGAGGGCGTACTGTAAACGGTGCGGTTTCTCACGATCGCTCCAAATCTGTCTCCAGGGGTCTGAGGCATATAAAGCCAGCCCTCTTCCCACTTTGCTTCCTATCGCTCCATCTTCCCTTTTCTCCTCACAAAGGCCACCCAGCTTTGCAAACTACCTGGACAACTCGAACTCGTAAGATCAAGGAATCAGAGACCGGCCCAGCGGTCAGCAGAGGCGGCAGTGGTTCAAGTTCTGCCACAGGTGCAACAGAAACTCTCATCATCCTATTAATAACGGATTGTAACTGACATCTGGACGCAGAAAACAACGATAGTATTGACCAAGGAACAACCATGGCTGAGAGGGCCCAGCAGCAGAGCTCTGTTGAGTCTCAGGAAAACAGCTCCCTGAGCTCTACTGGCTCAACGAGGCCGACATCTCCGGTGCAAGCAACACGCATTTGGGAATTGGCAGCCCATAGTTCTGTATGCTGTGAAAAAAGCGCTGCCGGGAAAGCCATCCATATCATTCTTTCCAGAAATCCACTGAATCTCCAGCCCTCGAGACCTGTAGCGGATTGGACTCGATCAATCCATACAGCTCTTGCAGAGAGCCAACCGATAATGCCTTTTCAGCAAATGTATAAACCTCTAAGTCAGGAAGAGGTGGGCTACATCCGGAAGAGGCTGGAAGAATATACGAGGCGGCATATCCATAAATTAGATGGCTTTGACTGTGCAGTTATCCTCGCGGACGCCAAGACCCTATTTTCGTATATTGCGCTCCTGGAGTCGACGATCAAAACCCATCAGGTACAGTTGCAATCCAAACTTAAATTGAAGTTCGTTAACCGACACAGTGATATTAGACCGAGCCACAATCCAAGAAGAGAACCATGCAACCCACTGGGGCTGCAGGCCAAGAATGTGGAAAGAGGCGGCGACGACATTAGGAACGCGCATGTGGATCGCCAGAGATTGCTAAGGAGATATGTATATAGTTGAACAGCCAATACAAGTTTCATGCAGTTCAAGATAAACAGGTGGAACTCTTCTCACAACATCGCAAATATCACCAGTTCTTTTTGAAGATCAACTGCATTGTATTTATTCTGCCGTAGCGTCAAAGACTGGGATGCGCTTCTCTGTAACGGTTGTTATGGATATCTGTGCTCCAGAGAGAAGATTGTATCCTATCACCGCGTAAAGGTGCCTGCCAAAGTTGGGGATGGCGACTGAAGTTGTCAGCACGTGTTCATTCTTATTGTAAAAAAAGGCCAATGCATGAACTTTACATTTGTTTTCTCTCCCTCGGGAAATCCAATCCAGTCGTCCGCCAGAATCCTAATCCCTAAACCGTTTCCTATCTCATCGGCTAACAAATCCTGTCTCAAGTTCACTCAGGCTGGCCATGTCTTGAACTGTTTTTGCACATCTCTCGGTGCCATGGTTCAACCAGTCTATTATGGAAGTTAATTTGCAAATTTCACGTCTAGTTTTGTATCATTGCTACTGTAGAATGTTGGAAATCTCCCGCACCCTGCATACCTTGCTCGAATCCCTTAGCATTCCACTTCATATTTAATTTGACCACGCTATTCACCCACAAAAGCGTGGTGCAATCACTCAGGAAAAAAGTTTTCTCTGACGTATAGCCTTGTTGCCTTGACATAGCGTATCAGTCCATTCCAAATGTTTCTCTATTTTCCTTATATTAATCGATTGCATTGAAAAGTGAGGGTTCAACTGTCAAAAATGTCAGGAATCATCTCTCCCTACGAGCAGGGGGGAAATTTTTGGCCCACCATCCCCAATATGGACTAATCCAATCACGTGAAAATTCGTATTCTCCTTTGAAATTGAAACTATTCTAGCGGCATCGTCTCGCCAGCATCACCCTGTCCACCATTTGCACCTCTCCTTAGCAATCTCCACATACGCGTTCAGCGTCATAACCAGCATTCTCGTCATCAGATGCGATTACCGAGATCAAGTATGAAAAAAAAAGAAAGCATTAGTCCGGGGAGATGCATAAATAAGGCCTACGGTGGGCCTCTACCGCGCGAGACGTGAGCAACGATAGCGACAAGTCATCGACCGTATGTGTCCCACATTTCCGGTGTGATTGTTGTAGTAGTATAAGCGTACTCAGCTTCAATCCAGGCTTGCCAATCCCAATCAATCCAGTCATTGAATTGCATAGCCATAGTTTTATTCCACCGTAGAAGAGGTGAAATGTACTGACCAAGGAACAGGTTTGATCCGATAGCGACTGGATCATTTCTTCTCCCACCGAAAAGAGCGCCAGCAAAGTCAAGGAACAGAAGATTTTGTTTTGAATCATAACCGGGCTTCTCTACCATGATGACATTTCTAGGGCTTAGATCCGTGAGTAAAATATTTTGCTCATACACTCGACTTTCGAAGTTGACAACGGATTTCATGATCTCTTGGCGAGAACGGCGAGAAAACTTTTGTGGATTGGCTTGTTGCATTGATATCCCTGGTATATACTCCAGCAGAATAAGTCGAACAGTCCGGATTTTAGACCCCTCAACAGGAATATCCAATGAATACGATCCGTAGAACCTGGGTACTCGTTTCCCCTGTGACTCAGACAGAACATCATATGCATGGGTTTCGTGGGTATAGTGTTTGTCCACACAAAGAAAAGGATTAAGAAATCCTTCTTCGTCATCGAAATAAAGAGGGTCGTATATTTTGGCAACCAATGCTCTATCTGACCGGAAGCATGGAGGATGAGGTCTAACTTCAAGAACCTCGACGGTGAAAACTTGCGCATTGCAACCGTCCCCGACCCTCAATAAATTAAGAATCTTTAAGTCGACGGTGCATGATCCCATGCTTCCTGGTAAAGGAGGATGCCGCAAGCACCGCTCAAGTGGGTGAAATTGTCTTCTCTCCGCCCTGTCAGTTTGAAAATTGCGGCAACAGTCTTTGGTTACTCGTGTATGCGGTGGAGGAATGTGTGATTCGGTGGTGAAAACCCAGCCCTCGACATAAGGGACTGGGGGTTTTG